AAACAAGGCACTCCAAGATTCCTTGACACCATAGTCTTTCAATACCCATAACTTACAAATTTCGAACCCCTGAAGCTTAGTAACAGAATAAACACATAGCATTCCGTCCAATACTAAAACACCAAGAAAGATGGTTCCCACAAAGGATAATATTTTCTCCGGCAACGGTATCTCTCCATACACTTCTTTTGAAATACTAAATGAAACGAGAGAATAATCTCTTGCCTTATATTCAAAACTGGTCCACAGAGTTGCCACTTGTGATCATCTACGGTCTGTTGAGCTACCAGTCCAATGAAATGCCTCGTGTACGAATGCCAAAGAAGTAGTATGACTCACCGCATTGGAAACACCACGAGGATCTTTATCAATTTTTCTCCACGAACCACCTTTCATAGGCGTATAAGTATGGTGATAAACAAAACTAATTAGGACTAGAAAATTTATTTCCATATAAACTAGACATGAATGAAATAAATATCAAATAACAAATCCAAAATAATTTAGGATTCATATTTCCTACTCTTAACTTTAAATTATTATTCCAACAATTCTGCATTTATTCAAATATAATGACAAAGGTATTTTTGAGTAAAACAAACTAAAACTGATTCATTTTGAATAATTAAGAGATATCAATTTTATTGTACAACTTTGTAGGTGAAATTAACAAGGGGATGTAAAAATACTATGCAAAAATTTAAACAAGGTAATGTCTCTCCCTTTTTTTATCTGCCTAGAAAATAAAATAAGAGAATGAATAATAAGGATTCTTGGAGTGTCTTGTTTACTATACAAGAAGAGAGTCATACCGAAATATAGGTTTGCGAATGGTGAATTACTATTCGGTTGCGTTCATGCATAAACTAAGACACTCATACCATTAGTTTTACAAAAGTTCCACATCGGTGGTTAATGGGATGGGTGGACTCCTTATAAGGCTTGGGCAATCCTCCTTCCTTTGAGCTAGCTTTTGGGGTGTGAGTTAGGCCTAAGACCTAATTTAACAATATGGACTTGAGCAATTCTTCCATCTAGACTCTAGAGACTATGCCCTCGGTTATGATTCACATCGAGCCGTGATAAAGAATATCAACGATCAAAAACCATTTCTGTTGCTGATGGAGAAATGTTGCTTGTATTCCTTTAGAGAAGTTACTTGCTGATATTGATCCGAGGGATATTAATATTGAAGAAGATGGCATGAGGTTGTGAAATGGAATGTCCACATGTGTGATTTTTCTTAAGAGTCGTGATCCGAATGGTTGTGATTTTTCTAAATGGTTATGACCTTTCTGATAAGGCACAATAAACACCCGTTCATACTACTCTTTGTTGTTTATAAATAGAGGGTCTCCTCTCATTTTTTAACAATGAATTTCCTAAACTTCTTATTCTACACAAACAAATTTTGGTGTACTTTACTATCGTTGAGTGGTTTGCTGCTACTGTGGATTTTGGTACTAATACACATTGGTACTAATACACAGATCGTTCTATTCTGGAAGGATATATTCCATTAACCTCGAATACTTGAGGAGATTAATTTCCTCAAGGTACACTGTGTATTCAGTGGGTTCGATTTTCTTCTTTTCAATATTTATTTCTGTTTTGTTATAGATTATATTTTCTTAATGATTGTAACTTTCTGAAATATACTTTAAATTTTATTATCTCTCACAATAATTGGCAAAGTTATATCTTAGTAAATCGGATTAAACAACAGTGGCAACTTAATTCCTTTCAAACTCTAAAATCTCCTTAATAAATCAAGACTTTCTACAGAGTGATTTTATATGGATAATGGATGCAAAAGGCAAGAGTATACAGAGGCGTATCTAAGGAGGGTCACCGAGTTCACGTGAACCCATGGTCCCCTCCCGAAATCATATATAGTAGTGTTATATTTTAAAAAAAATATTGAAATATAGATGTGTGAACCCACACTTGAAGTATCACATAATGTGATTATGACTGGGTGCACCTCTCTCTGCTAGGTTAGAAATTTGAATTTTATATTTATCATGTTTTATTTTTCTTTCTAAAATTAGATAACACTTCTCTAAGTGGTAATTGGTATATATATATACAAGAATTAATTTTAGACCTATAATTTTAAAATTGTAACGATTTTCAGTAGTAAAATTCTAAATGTCGAACTGAACAAATTTATATCATAGATCAACCTTTTTATAACAGTGCACCCATCATCTCAAAATCCTAGATACGCCTCTGAGAGTATATAATTGTATATAATTTTTAAGAGAACATTTCTTTGAGATTCGTATCTCTGTCTGCTCTGATACCATGTTAAAGTGTGTGACCATCTCATCAGGCATGGCTGCAGCTATAACTGCTGATACAAGTTCAACTGTTAATCTTACAACTACAGCTGCCAATGTAGCTTCTACTTCTACTGCCAAGTTTATCCTACAATTGCAGCTGCTGATGCTGCTTCTACTTCTATTGTCCAAGTTGATCCTACATTTGCAGTTGTTGATGCTAGAGATAAAGTTTGCTCTACATGGGTAACATCTCTTAGAGTCTATTTGAATTGTTTTCCTTTTTATTTACTCAAACAAGTGCTTTAAAACTGTCTTTATTTCAATTAGACTGTTGCTGATAAGCTTTGGGAATTATTGTCCTAAGTCAGCCAAAACATCCGTTGATTCAGCAATAGCAAAAACTGAGATCAGTTTTCGGACCCTTGACATGGCAATTGCTAAGACCAAACATTTTTCGTGGGCACCTCAGGTAACAGCTTGCAGTGTTGAAGCAGGGACAAACATAATTTCTGGTGGATTATTAGTTTCTTACTTTCTTGTATAGACTACTAATTTGATACCCTAATATTTTGAGGGTATCGTACTGCATTGTTGATCAGTTCATTGTTGCAAGTACCTCTCAACTGTATGTGGTTCTAACTTTGTTAATAGCAATTGTGTGTGGTTCATTGTTGATTGATTCTTTCTTGCAAGTGTCTTCTTGTGGATTTGATTGTTTAATCTTATTGCGTTGATTGTTATGTTGGTGCATATTGAATATGACACTTGTTGGGGAAATGCAATTAGTGATGATAAAAATGAAGGGGAGTTGAGTGTGTTTAGTTATGGTATGGAGAGTTTAGATAGGCTAGCAGTTGCATTAGGGGAATGTAATTGTGCCTAATTGCCCTGTGCGCTTGATCAAGATTGGAAAATTCGTTATGCTGCCGTTACTGCAATTGGAAAGATTTCAGAAGGATGCTCAAGGTAAACACTCCCTCGAAAACAACCTCTCTACCTCCTAAGCTGCCTTTTTGGCTTACGTGGCATCCAAACATCTCCCACGCGCTTCAACTACGTGGAGTCACGAAGTATGTCACGTAAGTCAAAAAATGTATAAAATTACAAGAAAAATGAATTCGGGGATAATAAGACCTTAGTTTAGTTGAAGTGTGTCTCTGAGATTTAGGTTATAGTTTAGGGGACTTGTGCTTTATCCCCTAAAAGAAATTATAATCCACAACAAAACAAAAACAAATATTGAGCCCACTAAATGCACGGTGTACCTTTAGGAAATTAATCTTCTCAAGTACTCAATGTTAATGGAATATATTCTCCCACGATAGAATGATCTTACTCACCGGCAACGACAGTAAAGTGCACTAGAATTTGTTTGTGCAAAATTATTACTGCAATATTTTAATCTATTTGTTATTTTACAATAGTTAGATAGAAGTATTGAAAACACCCTTAAATTTGAAGCGAATTATTACTTTCATCTTTGAACTATTGACAGCCTTAAAAACACCCACTTATTTAACTAATTGAACTTAAATACACTCCCAATCTTGTAACATGAGTGAAAGACACCCCTAAATTCTCGTCAAGTTTAAAGGCGTTTTCAACACTTCTTTTGATTTTTTATTAAAAGTCTCGTGCTCCTACAAAGTTTGAGATCACTTGTTACGTCATGTGGCAGATCGGAGAGTGTGTAGAAGGGTGTTTCTAAGACTGTCAATAATTATTCGGAAACGAAATTAATAATTTGCGTCAAGTTCAGATGTTTTCGGTATTATCAAATTTATAAAAAAAAATTGACAAAAATTCTCATTGATCAATTTGTGCTAGATATCAACCTAATTTTCGATTGACTATGCTGAAATGAAATGAGCTAACAAATAAACGAGACAATAATCAATCCGAACTTCAACATATTAGACGAATTACAATTTCATGAGCTAATTTTGATGGGAATATTCAAATTCTATTTAAACCCGCCAGAACCCACAGTTTCTCTGTAACAAGAAAAACTAACTTTCTTCTTTCTCTACAAGCTCTGTTTCAATGGCAAGCTCTGCTTCAATGGCGATCAACCCCGAATCAGCAAAAGCTCTCTTCGGACCCGAATCGTACCCGCTCGTCAAACTACTAAGCCAGCTCAACAGCGATGACGATGATCTTCGTAAACCAGCAAAAGCTCTCATCGATTACACCAAAAAGAACTACCCAAATTCTTTGATTGAGAAACTTTTCGAAACAATTCAACGTAGCCAGCCATCATCGCGTACGGGCATTTTCTGTTACAAGCTTTTAACCGATATTTTACTACCCTTTTGGCCCAAACTTTCATCAACTACGCAAAATGATTTGATGGTTAAGTTGTATTACAAAGTTCGGCGTGAAAGCGATTATGAAACACTAGAGGTTTGTTGTTCTTGTGTATCGAGTATAGCGGGTTTGCTTTTCCCTAAATATGAATGGAGTTATTTGTTTTTCTTTATGATTGAGAATTTGGGTTCGGATTCGAACAGAAATTTGGGTGTTTTGCTTTTATGGGATGAATTGATACCGAAATGTCCTGAGATTTTTGTACCATTTGTTGATTGTTTGATTGAGGGGTTTACAGATCTTATGCCTACTATAACGGAAGAACATCGATCTGGGGTTCTTGCAGCTAGGGCTTCTGTGAAATTGATTTTGTATTTGTCAAACCCCGCCAGTTATTGCAAGTTTTATGGTCTTTTAGGGCATGTTCTAATGACTTTGATAATGGCATGTTCCGATGAGGAGGTTCTTGTGTGTAGTGTTCTTGAGGATTTGATTGTTTTAGCTGGTGTAGAGACCGCGTTTTTTGAAGGTAATATTGGTGTCGTGTTTGAGTCGATGGTGAAGTTAGCTGAGTGTTTGAAGTTAGGGGAAAAGTCAAGGCACCTTGCTATAGAGTTTGTTGTTACTGTAGCTGAGAATAGGGAGATTGGGTGTGGGATGATAGAGATTGTACCAAAAGAAGAAGTAACTAAGTTGCTTAATGTGTTGATTAAGATGTTGGTGCATATTGAAGATGACCCTCGTTGGAGAAATGCAATTAGTGATGATAAAAATGAAGGGGAGTTGAGTATGTGCAGTTATGGTATGGAGAGTCTAGAGAGGTTAGCAATTGCATTAGGGGGAGATGCAATTCTGCCTAATTGCCCTGCGTGCTTGTTCAAGTTTTTGGATGAAGAAGATTGGAGAATTCGTCATGCTGCCATTACTGCTATTGGACTGATATCAGAAGGATGCTCAAAGGTAGGACTCACTCGGAATCAACCTCTCTACCTTACTCCTAAGGTAGGGGTAAGGTCTACGTACGTACATCTTAAGTTCTAGGATTACTTTTGGCAACTGAAATATGTTTTTTGAGTTTGATTTCTGGTTTGGAAATTCCCAGGCATTGTTAGTGGAGATGGTGAAATTTGGACAGTCTATTGTGAATCTAATGTATGATAGCCACCCTCGAGTACGTTGGGCCACAATTCGTACAATTGGTCAGCTATCAACCTATCTGAGCCCGCGTTTTCAAGAGGAATATCTTTGGCAGCTCCTTCCAGCTTTCATAGAAGTATTGGATGATTTTCATAATCCCAGGTTGCAGGTACTGTTTATGACATTTGACCTTTGCAGTAGATAGCTTTTGAGCATCTGAACTCTTGACATATCAAAACTTGTCCACTGCAAGCACATATAGTTGACGACTGATATTCTCTCTTGTGTATAGACACGTGCAGCTTCAGTGATATGGTTGTTCAGTCACAATTGCCGTGCAGATGACTTGAAACCTTACCTGCACAAAATAGTGAGTAAATTAGTCGGGTTTCTACAGGTAATGTCACCTTTACCAATCTACAACACACTCATTCGTCCACGTGTATAAGAGTAAATGACATAAGCTTTTAACTTGCTGCATATTCTAGAGAGGAATGACAATGAGGAAAGAAGCAGCTCTTGAAACTTTAGCCTATTTAGCTAGTTCATTGCAGGTACTTCGCTTTCAGCGTTTCAAAAAGAACTTCTTTTGTTTAAATCTCTGGTGTTCTAAACTTCATTTTCCTGGGATACTGCAGGAAGACTCTGCTTACATATATGATTCTATAATGCCTTATCTGAAAGTTATCTTGGAAACTGCTACTAAAGATACAAGTCGCACGCTACTTGCCAAATCCATGGAATGCATTACCAGGGTTACAATGGCTTTTGGAAATCAAGCAATCCATGGTTATGTTGAAAAGGTGAAAACAATTTATATCTTTTCATAGCACTTAGCAGGCATTATATAAATGTGACACTATCAATATATCTGAAAATGCATTTACCTTATGTGATGTTCCATTTTAGGTCACTGCAGTACTCATTTCACTGCAAGAAACTCAAACAGAGATAGAAGATCCAATGAGGAAATTTTCATTACTGGTATGTTGATACAACTTAGAATGTTGTGCAACTTCCATTTTCTTTTCAGTTTTTGGCTAATTTACACTTGATTCTATGACAGGCATACGGTAGACTATGTAAATGCTTGGGGGAAGATTTCCTTCCTTATCTAAGTCTTGCCATGCCCATTGTGCTAAATTCTGCTCAGCTAAGTGTTTCCAATAGTTCAGATACAGATGATTCTGATGATGAAAGGTTGGATCTTCCTATAACAACTTGTACGAAATTTAATTTATATGGATGGGTGTAGGTATTAGTACTATGTAAAGATGTAGATGGTTGTGAGTTTTCGTATTTTTGAATTTCATTTCACCATGTATTACATGCTATACCATGTGAAACTACTATGTTGAATCAGAATGTAAAGAAAGTGAATCCGTTAAGTGACTTCTGCATATCTGCCTGTTTATTTAGAGACAACATCGCGTAGTCAAAGGAAAACATCTGGTCTTTCCAGGCACTTGAGGTTTCACCGATGTTTTATGAGGTTATTAGTCACTGCACTTAAATAGCACTGTTTGATGAGATAAATTTCCATTACTAACCTGAAATGCAGTCTATTGGAAACAACCTCTCTACCTTCAAAGGTAGGGGTAAGGTTTGTGCACACACTACCATCCTTAGATCCCACAAGTGGGATTACACACGGGAATTGTAACCTGAAGTTGGTTGCAGGAAAAAAGTGAAATAAGCAACTTATTGGAAAAAAATTTATTGAGGATGTCTTCAGCTGACATAAGTATCTTCTGTAGCATGATTAAAGTCACCGCTGGGAATAAAAAGATCCGGATAAGAAGTGCACTTCTGGAAGAGAAGGCCTTGGCCTGTCATATGCTATGCTGCTTTGCAGCTGAGTTAAAGGGACGGCTGCATTTATGGGTTAATGAGGTCTGTCTAGAAAATTACAGGTCACAGCTAATCTCTTTTACAAGGCTTACAAAGGAGCATGCAGATTTTTACCTAACTTATCGTTTATGCAGGTTGTTAGTGCTTTAGTTCCGAATCTTACCTTCGAATTCAGCGAAGAAGTAAGAATGACTGCCATTTCTGGTAAATTTTCTACAAGAGTCTTCTTCTAATCATTTGTTTCCATATTATAAACCAAATCTGATTGTTTTCTGAATTGCATTTATTCCTTTTGTAGCAATGCCGTTACTGTTAAATTCAGCTTCTTGTGCTATGAAGAAAGGGCTTCCTGTAACAGGTTGTGGCAAGGCCCCAGTTCAAAAGCTATCTAACACTATCATCCCATCTTTGCTTGACGCGTTAAAGAAGGTAAATAACCTAGTATTGCAACAAAAGTTTAATCAATATTGATACGATCCTAAGGAGGTTCTGCTTTCCCTTTAGGAGTCAAAGGTACAAGTTCAAGCAAGACTATTGGAGGCATTCAACGAAAGCATTCAGGTCATTAACTCTTTTGTCTTCTGTATAGCTTATTTGTCTGTGCACTAACAAGTACTTACTCACAGATTCCGGGTTCACATCTAAGTAAACATCAAGCTGAAAAATTTGTTGAAGGCATATCAAAGGCTCTCTTAACTTGCTCATACCGCAAAACAGAAAGAGAGAAAAGAGCTAAAGAACACACAGATTCAAGGGAGCAGAAACTACTTAAGGAGGCAGCTCAACAACACTTAACTATATGTAGAAACGTTAGTGTTTTATCTCAACGGAGCCTCTAATATATATATTACTTAACAGGATCTTAGACTTACCTTCGTCGGTTTCTTCTTTTTTTTCCTGAATTCAGATTGGCATTTGCCTCGAAACTATGGTGAAAATACTTAAGGCATCATTCTTGCCCCTTTTAGACAAGTTTTTGCCTTATGTATCACTTATGTGGGTAAGTGTCTCTCTCTTTATGATGTACTATACGTATAATTCAATTCATGACACCTCTTACTGAAGCATCAAAAGTGACTAAATTGAATTAAACTGCTAATTCTACAGGGAATTTTTATGGTTTCTTTGGCCTTACACATTTCCTTTTCACTTTTCTACGCACTTCTGTACAGAGTAATGATAGAACAGCAGAAGAAAGAAGAATTGTAGTGCACCTTTTCCGTGAAGTTGCTGAGCAGTGCCGCGAAGAAGCATTCAGGTAAGTCTCTTATGCGATTTTCAATGTCTTGTTAATCATGGTAAGCTCAATTGGCTTAGATGAACGTCATTTTTTATTATTATTTTAAAAATCAGGTACTATGAGGAGTGGATACCTCTCCTGCTTAAAGTTTACTATCACAAGGATCCAGATGTTCCACAGGTTCTATTTTCCCCTTCTTTTACAATTTGTTTCCCTACTAAGTCTCTCGTATATCATTCAAACCTGACGTGTTCCTTTTTTTTTTCAGATCGTAGCAATTGCAATTGGTATTTGTGCTGAATTCGGAGCAGATTTCCTTAAACCTCATACTGAAGGTAGCTTTGTGCATTATTATATGCTTAAGGTATCTATTTTCTCCACTAGCAGCACTGACTTGGCTTTTTAATGTTTGCAGGAATATTCGGTTGTTTGAAAACTGCATTGGAGCATCCTAATGCAAAATACCAGGATAACATCATGGCTTATGAGGCTGCTGTTTATACCTGTGGGAAGTTAAACCAGTTTCTCTCAGATGATTTCTACACCTATGAGGTGCTCTCTTACTACTGCTTCCTAAAACTTCATACACTAGAACCCATAACAAACACTCGTCACAAATCTACGACTTCTCTTGACAGTAGTTTGATAAACTTGTCATTTATCAACTGACATATTATAAACATTCTTGTCTCAGTTCATCCGGCTCTGGATTAGCCACTTACCAATAAGGTGTAATCTGGATGAGGCTAAAATCAGTCATGAACTACTTTGCTCAATGATAGAGATGTAAGTATTCCCCGTAGCCTATAACATTTAAGTAATCAATGATTCTCAAAACTTCAACATATCTTATGCACTGCTTGCACTGTGCCTTGATCTTTCAGGTTTGAGCAGAAAGTTATTGGCCCTCAAGGATTGCATATACCGAAGATCATAGCAATTTTCGCTGAGGTAATTTTCCCTTTCTATACCCTTAATCTTGATTTGCAGTTCCATATATGCACCAAGATTCCCTTCATTTCATAACTTTTTGTCTTTATTTCATTTTTCCTATAGGTTTTATGGGCAGGAAACAACTTGGCCACAGAAGAAACTAAAGGGCGAATTATCAATCTATTGAAGAAATTTCAAAGGGAACTGCAGCCTCCTGTCTTGTCCAAAACATTTGAAACATTACCTTTACCACATCAAAACTTGTTGCGCACCGTCTTGTCCACCTTATAAACTGTTTATGCATTCTTTGAGTAGATAGATACGTGTACAGAACGGAAATAGCAAACAGGAAAAATAGCAGACTCATACTTGTAGAGTGAGAAAGATTACTGTAAAGAGTGTGAATGTACACAAAGGATGAAGTAGTATCTGATTGTAAAGGAGATTTTTGTGTATGAAAGGAAGTTACTAGCCAGATTTTATGAAAATAAGATCTAAACATAGATAGAATGTTACCTGTTACATCTCTCCCCAAATATGATTTAGCGCAGAGATTGTGTCCTTCGTTGCTAGCTTGTTAGCTTGTTTGTACTCCGTCGAAGTGTGCTAATTGAACATTACCTTTTGGTCTATAAAATCTGAATAACCATAATTTGATCACATAATACAGCTAAATCATATGAAGCAAACTCTAAATAAAACAAGCATTTAGAGGAAGTGAAGCTCCATGACAAACACAAATACTAGTTCAGAAGGGAAGGAATATATGGCGTAAGATAAAAATAGACATCAAAACATCATTATATTGAAATAACAAAAATTTGTTCTTTTAATACAACAACAACATACCCAGAACGAAGACCTTACCACTACCTCGCGGAGGTAGAGAGGCTGGTTCCGAACCCTAGGCTCAGGTGCAACAAATTCATTCTACTAATACTAGACACAAAATTTATGAAGCTACTAACTTGCACAACATCAAGTTCCGGTTCCAATTCACGAGTCTTCAGTTCACTCCCTTATGTCATCTTCTTCAACATCAATATCGTTCAAATCAATATCAGCAAGTAACTCCTCCAAAGGAATAGAAGGAACATCTTCTCCATCAGCAACAGAAGTAGTTTCTGATTGTTGATATTCTTTATCACGATACAATGATATGTTGAACCTCAGATCAGGATTCTCCTCTAAATCTCTCAAGAAATGTTCATACTCCGAGTTCATTTTTTGTTCTTGATCTCTTCCCTTACCAGAGTTATCGACTTCCATATTGAGTGACTTAAGCTTCCAAGACCGAGGCTTCCCACGTTTCTTTTGGCGTTTCTCCTCATAGCTTTTCTTAATCAATATCACCTCTGGAAGGACAAGACCTTTGTATTTTTCAAGCTCAAAATCATTACTATTGGCTCGATATAAATCATAACCGAGGGCATAGTCTCCAGCATCTAGAAGATGACCTAGATGCGTTCTTACGGAGAATATTGTGTCATTTTTCCCGAAATCAGAAACACGAGCAACTTGGATATCAGCTAAAACATACTTCGAGCCTCCAATATTAACTTCTTCAGAAACCACATCAACGTCTAAAACCACATACTCGACAAGCTGTCTACTAGATAGTAAAGGCTTAAATGATGCCCTCCAGTACTGATCAGCATCTAAGAAACAATGCCTCAGCGTAAACGGATCTAGTAGAGCGATACTGTTGCTTACTTTCGTGCAGATCACTAGAGGACCGATATTTCCTAAACTAGCTGCCACCTTTGGAGGGAGACATATCAGATCCTCACGACAAACCGGGCTGATTTCTACAGAGAATGTGTACTTATAATTGACGATATTGCTCTTATGATCATGAGACGCGAGTTGCTTGGCGTTTCGGGTCCTAACAAGTACCACCCTACTGACAAAATCCACAAACTTCAAAGCATGACTTCTATGACCAAAGAAGAAATCAATTCCCTGATCCAACTGTTGAATCTTTATAGCACGATTAGCAGCATCGTGCTTAATAATCAGCTGCTCCAAATAGAAGAACGTTCTTCGGTGAGACACGTGCTGTCTAAGTTGCACCGCAGCCACCCATTGATCAGGATTAACTTGCACCTTCGAACACGAATCACACATTTGATCTTGGACAACATACTCGACGATGTACGACTGTTCAAGAACAGCTCCATTTAGTACCTCTTTTTGGACTTTAAGCCTAATTTTGATCCTTTTCGAATGAGGCTCAGTCCAAATAAACTCGGCATTCACCAACTTAACTTTATTCAAATTCTTCAACTTCTTGATACAAAAAGTGAGTAACTCCTTCGATTCGAGCTGTGCTTTGATCCAACTCCTTGGAGGCTGCAAATAGCCATCACATTCAGGGCAGTGAACAATCACTACATGTTTCTGTAGGTCTTCTGTTATATCAACTTCGGATCGCAAGCATTTAGCACACATATGTGCAGCATTTGGCTGCATCGAGATTCCGCATTTGCAGCATAACACATTTCCTATGGTTTGTTGTACTGTAAACATTCCCAATACTTCTGCCATACCTACCGCGAAAACGAACAAGATTTGCATAAATAATAACTCAACAAATGAAACATAGCTTTCCATAGCAGATTATTAGAAGCAATAAGCTACATAGACTTTCATTTGTGTTCCGAAAACTGTAGTGTCTGGTCCAGCTTGCGCAGAACTCGACTAATATACGCACTAATATTACACGGTACCTTCTACCTCCAAGCAGTACACTGAATTACTCTGTCGACCAAGACTTGGGGAAATGGACATAGATATCCATTTTGAATTATTTAAAATCGGTCTATTTCCGACATCATATTCACAGTTAGCCTATTCATCCTAGTTAGCGATTCCAAGTCCATATCAAGGTCACGATCATATGTCATGACTAGCATCAAGATAATTTCTATAACATATTAATTCTCATTTCCAGTTACCCTTTTGTTTGTATTAAACATGAAACAAAATGAAACTGAAGAATTTCTTCAAAATAGCAACTAATCCCTCTGTTCTAATTAACAATCTTTTTACCATCATTTACCCTCTCTATTTTCAATTTACGCATCTTATTTTCCTTCTTAGTCTGTTTAAAAAAGAGCATCACTTACATATATTAACTCTTTAATTATTTTTTAAAAAAAAAGGAAAAAAAAACTCACATATCATAACTACGCTCACAAAAACTCAATTATTATTATTTTTAGACAACCATCTTCGAGGCACCTCGACTAATTCAATGAGATACCTATCACCGACAATAGGTACCAGGTAACTCTGTCCACTAAAGATGGGCCAAAACTCAAAAATCTCCCTTATTTTCTTAAATTTCGTATAAAATTAAACACAAAAACATAAATTTCATATCAAATCAAACTAGGACACATAAAATAAACAGAGGAGAGTAATACAAATGTCATTTCAATGTAAGTAAAAACTTACTTTTAACAAAAAACAGTTAAGAGATTGATATCCAATTAACAGTAATAATCAAATAAAAATTGATTATCCACCAAGAACATCTCATAATCCTTTTAACAAATCTAAGATTTTAAAATTGAAACAGAAACAAAGACACCCTTTTCTTCCAAGAATCAAATGAATAATTAAGAAATTGAACATCACAAATAAATTACTATAAGATTAATATTACCTGATGTTTGGAGTTTTGGTTGATCAAGAATTGGAGTTTTGTTGATCAAGGAAAGAGGAGAAAAAATATTTAATTTAAAATATATATATGAGAATTATTTATTTTGTGGAATTTGTTGTTTATTTTGGACCTTATATAAGTTTTATAATATTAAATAAATAAATGAACCTAACCGACTTTAGGAAAATACCGTGGACGTCACGGCTTACTATTATATCCTTTTGTTGTGTTGGGGTGATTTACGAAAATAGCCCTCCACGTGGACGGTATTGAACTTTTGACTCGTTTTGCTTTCATGGTTAAATTTTAAGTTTGATAAATTTTGACTTTTAATCTTGAAAATTTATGTATCTATAAGGTATGTGGGGATTAAAAGTTCAACAACAATAACTTATTCAGTAAAATCCCATAAATTAGGTCTGGGAGGATAGATTGTACGTAGATCTTACCATTACCTCGTGGAGGTAAAAAAACTGTTTCTGAAAAGTTTAAGATCATCTATTTTCGAGATCATTGCATCTAAATTTCCAATGAGTTGTCAATGGCTTGGGCCGTACGTAATTTGCTTGGTCTGCATTTGGTTGCATCTCAAGTTATATGACTTGAAACACAAGAGATCGGGATGATAAGTATTTTTTCATTTTTAATCAAAAGTTTGTGTCAACTTCAAAGATTTATTTAGTCGCAAATAATAGAATCACGATTTAAGATTTTGTCAGTTATCACAAACGTCAAGTGACGGACTAATATTTTGTTGGTAAGATTGAACAATTTATGACTTATGAAATGCCATGTAAATTGCTAGAGTGTATGGCTAAAACAATAACGGAAGTTTCATAAGGAGACTGGAACAAGCTATCGACAAAAGATTTTCTTCTTAAAAAGATTTTGTTTGGAACTCTTATATGTCCAAGGTACATTATTGAAATAATTTCAAAGGTTTTCCTTGATTTTGTTCGTGTCAACAAACAATTTGAAACACCTCAACTTTTTTAGAACAAGATAGAGTCAAATAGTAATCATTCGAAGCACTTATTTTTATGCTATTACGTAAACCCAATGACTCAATTGTAGCGGAAAAAAAGAAGAGGAAAGCGGATACTCAACTTAAAGTGAGTAAAAAGATTTTCATATCTTATCGGTACATATAGAATTTTGCGAAAAGTCGTATTCGATGTATGAGTAAATTAGTCTGGAAACTAATGGGTTTATTAAAGTGGGCTGACTTTGGAGTCCACTTTTAATGGGCTCTCTCTTTTAGGGCTTTGATGGATTTAAGAGCCCAAACTCATCTTAGGTGAGACCAATGAGTATAGAAAGCCCAAATATACTAAACCATTGCTAACTTGGGAAATATATTGGCACAACTTTAATGATCAAAACTATAAAATAATGGTTTTAAAAATAAAAAAAAAATCGATATTCCACTAGACAGAGTATCTAATGGCTAATTTTAAAACAACGGGTGTTTGTAATTTAGAATATGAAAATTTGAATTTGAATGAGTCAGAATCTGAAAGATCGATTTTATGACTCATTACAGTGTTCTTTTAATTTATACGGCTCTGTCATAGGAGATCGATAAAATATAACATAAAAAATCGATAAAATATAAGAACTTTTATAAGATCATTTTTCATATATTTCATATTGTATGGAAAGAAACAAAATCCATTTTGTCTGGATGTTTTACTAAAATGTCCCTCTTGCTGAATTGTCAAATCCTGTATTGTCTACTTGTTTGGACCATTAATACACATGATGTGACAAGGCCCATTTTGGTCAAACAAGATTTCAAGAGAAATGACAAGTAATAAACCAAAGCATTGAAAGTGATTGAAATACATTTTTCAATTTCTTAGGTTCTAGTCATTTCTAATGTTTTTATTAATTTTCTAGAACATTACAAAAATTGAAATAATTCAAAAGAGGGTTTGAATTATTATTTTTCGTGTTGAATTTGAGATTGAAACATAGTTGATTGAAAAGCTAGCATAAGATGATTGAATTTTTAATGTATCGACAACAGTGGGTGCAGTGGAACGATCATTTCAAAACCCTAATCCTGTGTTGATTTTGCTTAGGAAAATTCAAGATTTAGAGTTTGTACAACCACCTAAAAACAGTAGGTCAGTGTTGAATCCAGAAAACTCGATTCATCGTTTTAAATCTACTTCAGTAGTCTTGACGACTTATTAGGTCGTGTACTGAAAATATTGTGAATTTAATCAAACTCCAATAAAGACAAGTCATATCGATTTGTATATAAAAAACAGTTATTGTCATGAAGATTCAGATTACACATATGAACTTTTTAAATATTATCAAATAAAAACTCCACGACTTTGCTTATTTTTTAATTACATAGCCGAAAAGTGATTAGTGAATGTTATTTCGGGTTGGGGTGGGGTGGAGGGGGGGAGGGGGGACATATGGTCAACTTGTTGGGCTAGTGACCATCTGACAATTTCAAAGTCCAAGAAGGACTCCTAGAATTTGGGCTTTTTACAAAAATCAAAGCCAAACAAATACACAAAATGAACAAAGTTTGAACCCAAAAGGAATGTTGGAAATGTTCTTAACTTAGCAACTCATTCTGTAGCCTACTGTACTAAAACCCCTATAATTAGAAGAAAAAAAAAATTGTTCAAATTATTCATAAAAAAAAATAAAATAAAAATTAATAAATTATCCTTCTATTCTAACATAAAAAGTCAATAGTAAAAATTCAAAAAAAGGCTACAAATTAAACAAGTTTTCTTTGCTTCTAAAAAAACACTTTCCTGTTTTTTCCAAACATCCCCTTACAATGTGACATAAATATAGGCTGTGACATATGGTCATTTTAAAAAAAAAAATGGGTCCACTTTTTAAAGACTCACGGATTGCAAAATCAAAGAATAAAAAATAAAATCAGATATTAAAAAAAAACCATACAAATAGAGCATTATCTTGACGTTGTAAAAGTCATCAGTTCAAGTTTGATTATCTCTAAACCCAATATTTAGACACGTGAAGTATTCCAACGTTTCATGCCAGAGCTCCATTGAGGGTATAGTCAAATACGAGATGATTTGCTAACGATAAAGAATAGGAAGGAATCTAAACATAGCATATGTAAACTTGAACAATTTTTAGAAATTTATTTTACAAAAAGAAAAGTGGCTTAATTAATTATTTTTGTAGGACAATTGACTCTTCACAAAGTTGAGTAATGAGGGTAGATTTCTTTGGAGAATTTGGCAAAAAAGAAGTACTATATATTACTATATTAAATATTAAAGATGAAATGATATAAAGAACTTAAAAGAGGGTACAGAAGTAAATGAGGGAACAATATATTAAACATGAAACATGGTATAAAGACTTTTTTAGATTTTTTATTCGACGGTCAATATCTGCATTGAAAATCGATTAATTCCGAATTTACCCATTGCAAAACTCGTTTTTGAAGACGGCATTTTCAGTAAAATTCTTTTTATTTTACGAACTCAAACCTAAGATCTTTAAATAAAATTTTAATTATCTCACGGCAATCGATGTTCGTACCGAATTAAAGAGGGAAACAGTATTATAACAATAGAATGTGACAGTGCATGGGATTGTCATTATGTAGAGAATAGTAATATATGCAAAATACTCGCTTTGAATGCGGGACTGACAAATAATACACTCTAGGACAATATATATTATATAATAATGTCACACACTCTCTCTCTTTCCGATCGTGGTAAAAATTTATTCGTATTTGATATTTTATCTGTAACGAATGAATACAAGATGTGTATGTGGTTATGGTACATGTATTCCCGTTTTAATTTTTAACTCGTAATTCTTTCCTCTGACCAGCCTCACACTAGTAGAATATCGCTAATGAAATTAGCAATTTTTATAATGTTTAGAGAATGAGGGTGAAGTTGATTACGTATATATCACATATTATTAGGAGTGAATGTACACACACAAAAAAAGAGTAAACTAAGAACATATTTATTAGCACTTGAGGCTATTGTTCAACGATTCATAATACATAAAGTTTAAACTCTGAATTCGACGTAACTATAACTATAGAGATATATTAGTTAACATGAAAAGTATAATACTTTAAAACACTTTTTAAATAAAAGATTCTTGTCAATATAGAGGCAAAGTGAATTTTAGTACATTGGATAACTACATTAAATACATATTACGGATATACTTTTTATTTAATTTTCTTAAGTGACAATCAAGTTTAGGGGACCATAGACAGTAAGATATATATGTATATATATTTTCAATAAATTCAACTGCAGAGAAACCACAATTCTATTCTCTCATCATAATGCCATCATAGCCTTGTGATAGAACTACCCCTACCCCCTAACCCCCCCCCCCCCCCCCCCCCCCTCCTAAAACTTAACTTTTTTTTGTCATAGAAAAAAGTAAAGTAGTGATAAGGAGGAAAAGTTTAGTAAAGCCTTTTTCTTTTCCTTTCTTTAATGATAATGAGAGGGGGAGAGAACTTAACAATTAAATATAAAATTTATCGTTAATCTGTCACTAAATGATTTATAGTTAACATACTCAAATCTATATATAATAGCTATTCTCAATAAAAAAATATATTTCATTATAACGATAAAGTTTCTTATATGAAACCAACTTTTCATACTATGTTAAAATATTTGTTCGTTTTAACAATATTTCACTCTTGTAGTATTAGAAAGACATATACTACTTACTCCCTTTGTTTTAACTTATATGACTCGCTTCTTTTATCAGTAAGTCTAAAAAAGAATTACATGTTTCTATATTTAGTAATGATTTAACTTTAAAAATGTTTATTTTACTCGTAATGAAATGATTTATAGTCACTTAAATATTTATCACTTATTTTAAATCACAAATTTCAAAAATCTTACTTTTTTTCTTAAATTATGTATAAGAGAGTAATATTTATTATAAATATAGAGTGTGATTAAAATTGTTATGGTAATTATATATTGTACTATAGTCTACATCACAATCACTTTTTTCAGTAGAGTGCTGTAGGAGTAAATATTTGATTTAATTATTTTTCTCTTTCATACATTATAATACTATAACTTTTGTTCACTTCAATCATAAAGCAATCGA